CTAAAAATAATACTTTTACTTCTTTACTTTAAAATTTAACACCCTGTTACTCGTTACAAAATGAAATCTGTCTGAAACTCATCATGAAATTGTTTGTACACGATAAAAAAATGAAGTGTTGAATTTACTCAATCAAGTCATGTCAACTGGTTCCACTAAACTTACTAAAGTAAATATGTAATAGGTAATTTACTCAACCTGTTTAGTAAAACCAGTTTAGTTCAGTAAATTCAACAGTTTATTTCTTACAGACTGTGTAAAAGTACTTTTATTTTACTGACTTTTGTGAACAATTTTATGACTTTTAATTTAAAGTACCTTTCTCATCAGTGAAATTTATTTTTACCAGTCATTTTCTGTTAATATATTTTTACTTTTACTTAGTTTTTTCCAAGTACTTATAGACCACTGTATTTAAGTGATACTTAACGTCACACTAACTTTGAAATATCTAAAATATAAAAACTCTTTCTCTTTCCATAACTACTGATACATATGCTATAAATTCTATAGGGCTAAAAACATATCAACATATAAGGACTTTCTTCTTCTTTCCCAGTATGTCTCTCATAGTTATAGGATTTAGTTTTCTCTCAAATCTCCCTATACAGAGCACAAGCCAGGCTTATTGTGCTTTGGTTCTAAATACCCTGTTAAAACCTGGAAGTTACAGGTCTTTTTACCTTGTCACACACATGGGCCTACATAAAGCATTTGTATACATAATCATAAAAATTCAACCATTTACTGTTCATGGTTACACTTGAATGCATGGTAAACATCAGCTGAACATTTATTTTCCAGCTTAAATCTAAGAATTGTTGCTATAAAAGTACCCACAGTCAAATCACCGTTGAGTTTTTGCAAAGCAATCCTGCCTCTGATTAATTTGACAGTCAGGGAGTGACAGACGCAGCTGTATGGTTACCATGGTGACAACAATAAGCCAAGGGCAGCAGTTTTTTTTTTTTCATTTGATCTTGGTTCTCTTTACACTTCCTAAACATTTATAAATCTAAATGTTTGTCTTAGTTTATAATCTATGTTAGAATTTGGAACAGACACTCCTTTTACATAGAACATTTATAGTAATCATAAAGAATTAAACGGGATTAAAGTTAATCTCTGTTTATATGAGTGACTGCAACTGAATTGACTGATAATTTCCATAACTGCATGCTGATTAGATTTACTAAAACAGATTATTTAAAAGTAATACTTCAAGCAGCTCTTGAATGTAATAAACTCTTATTTTAACTTAATAATTCTGAACTGAATAATCTGAGCACCAGACATACAGAGAAGTATTAACATGATGCAGTTTAAGAGTTTCTCTGTGTGTGGCAGGAAAAAGAGCAGAATGAGAGAAGAACGCGCGAGGACCAAAAAAAGAGAAAACACGCGTTACCTTCGTGCTCACAAAGCGTTTCCTCTTTCCATGACAACTTCAGATAAAACAGGAAAGTCTTCACAGGAGCCTCGGCACACTCAGATGAGGAAACCCGCCCTCAGAAGCGACATTTTCCACGCACCAAAATAAAAAGGGGACGTTGTGTATAAAGCCCTGGAAAAGAGGAGTGCACGGCAATAGTTCTGCTAAACTCTCCGTCACGTTCAACTAAAAAAAGAAAAGAAAAAAGGTAAGAAAACAGAAAGCTACAGGTCACTGTGAGGAGGGGACATGACGCAGAGACTCTCGCAGGTTTCTTTTAGTGGACAAGCGGTCTCCTCTTGTCGCTTTTGACAGCGACTCTATTCTTCTAATTGCGCAAGGGGCTGTTTAAACTGGCAAGCAGGGACGCAGCCAGCRGGAGCCAAGCCGCGGCCAATCAGAGCGCAGGGGGCGTGGCCTCAGTCAAAATGATTTATGAGTTCATAGTGGCTCATTATTATGCACATTCCCATCTCTTAAAGGTGTAGTAGGGAGTTTTGAGAAATTCTACGGAAGTGTATTGATGTCACAAAAGAAAATAAATGTCTGCATTRCTGACAATGAGATCTGTTTAATAAGAAGAAATTGGTGTTATTTGGGAACGATGATGATGGATCATGGCTGAAGATAGMCTAACCATTGTCTCAGTGTACTTTGAGTCACAGCATATCCATCTTGAACACATTCAAAGTGATGAAATGTTTATCCATAGTTTTCAGTCACGGTTAAAACATTGCAGTAAGCAACAGGACGTTCCTGCAGTCTCTAGTCAAGACTGATACCTATCTATGAAAGAAAAACAAAACTATGAGAAAACATGTGCACGTTGTTTTTTTCTGCAACTTCTTTTAAAGGGATCCACGATTACTTGTAACATGAAACTTTATTTTAACTGTAAAATAAAGACTGTAAAAATACCGTAGGCTGTTTAGTTTTGTAAATTTTTAAAAACAT